GGGACGACGGGCTGGTCCCCGTCGCCCGTCCAAGCGCCCCCCGGGGGCGACGCGCGGACCGACGGGGCAGAAAGCCGCCGCGCGCCTCGGGGCGCACGGCGGGCTGAAAACCGCCGCACGCTCCGAGCGCGCGGCGGGAAGAAAAATCCGTCGCACGCCACGGGGCGTGCATCACACAGAGTAGCAGTGGCAGCGGAAGCAGTGAGGTGGTGGGCCCATACACAGGAACGACCCAGGAGGGTCGACCTGCTCTGATAGCATGTGAAAGAACGAGGAATGAAGAAAGGAGGGGTTTTCACTAGCAGTAGTTGGGATACATATAGCAAACCCTAACAGGGTTGTATTCGCTATAGAGCACCCCACTACAGACTAGATAATAACATTCTGACACCTCCCACTTCCCACCCAGGTTCATGGTGCCGACTCCAGCTTTTCCATCCCTTGCACTCACCTCTCCACCCTTCCTTGCACCGCCTTCCCATCCGGTATAGTCACCGGTCTCCACATCCCTACCCTTCGCAATAACCTCCTCTCCCACCGTGAACTCCAAGGCGTTGGCATTACCGCCATATACCCTGGCTTTGCTTCCTACTGCGATCTCTACCACACCGCCTCTGGCCGTTTCCTCCTGCGCATTCCCCTTTGCCCTCGCACTCGCCTTTATACGCTCCGCACACCCCGTCCCTCCTTTTGTCACGTCACCACTCGTGCTGGTACTTCCACCGGTCCCCTTCTCCCTCCCCCTCCCCCTCCTCCTCCCTCTCACCCTCCCCCTCCCCTTCTCCCTCTTCCTCCGATATCATCCTCCTCTACTCCATCCGCCTCCTCCTCCCCCCCCAAATTTTCCCCCACCCCATCCCCCTCTTCCTCTATTGCCCTCTCCCATCCTGCAGTGCTCCTACATCACAGACTCGGCCATCCCAACTTCGCCACACTTCGCTCCACCGTCACCTCTCGCCTCCTTAACAGCCTTCCTCCCACCTTACCTCCCCTCCCCTCCTCGCCTGCTCCCCCATGCCCATCATGTATTCATGGCAAGCTCAAACAGTCCCCCCATCACAGTCACCCCACCTTCGCTCCCGCCCCCATTGACCTTGTTCACATGGATCTCTGGGGCCCTTATCCCATTCGCTCCCGTCAGGGGCACAGGTACATGCTCGTGCTCGTCGACAACCACAGTCGGTACTCCACCGTCTTCCTTCTTCACATGAAAGAACAGGTGTCGGCTGTGGTCATCATCTGGGCTGAGCAGTGCCGCAACCGCTTCAAACGTCCCATAGGCCGCCTTCACTCTGACGGTGGGGGTGAGTTCATCAATCATACTCTCTCCACTTACTGCAAAACATACGGCATTCAGCAGACCTCCACCCTTCCCCACTCCCCTCAGCAAAACGGCATCGATGAGAGTCGCATCAGTGAGATCACCAAGATTGCGCGCTGCCCTCATTGCTCACGCCTCCACCCCTCCCTCCCTCTGGAGCTATGCCCTCATTCATGCCGCCCTCCTCCTCAATTTCCGCTCCCACCCTCAGCATCCCTCCTCCTCCCCCACAAAACTCTAGTCCAAGGCCAAGCCTGACGCCACAGGCCTTCGTGTTTGGGGCTGCAAGGCGTTCGTCCTCATTCCACTGGCCGACCGCTCCCGCGCTGCTGGCAAGCTCGCTCCTCGCGCTCTGGAGTGCGTCTACCTTGGGCACAATCGTGATTCCCCAGGCTACCTATTCCTCCACCCTCCCACCAATCGCCTCATCCGCAGCATTGACGTCGTCTTCGACGAGTCCACTCCCTACTACTCCACCCCTCCTCCTGACCCCCTCCCTCCTCCCACTCGCCCCCTCGCTTGGACCGACACCATCCTCCCGCCTCTTCTCCCTCCAGCGCCTCTCCTCCCACCTGTTGCCGCCCCACTCCCGCCTTCCTCCTCCGCCGACGTCTACGACCCTGCCGCACCCGCCTCCCCCGCTCACTCAGCTGCACCCCCTCCCCCCTCTCCCTCCTCTCATTCTCCTCCTTTCCAGCAGCCGGATCAGCAACAGCAGGGGCAGCAGCAGCAGCAGCAGCAGCAGCAGCAGTAGCAGCCGGATCAGCAACAGCAAAGGCAGTAGCAGCACCACCAGCAGCAGCAGCAGCAGCAGCCGGAGCAACACCAGCAACGGCAGCAGGGGCAGCAGTAGTAGCAGCAGCAGCGGCAGCCGGGGCAGCAGTAGCAGCAGCAGCAGCAGCCGGAGCAGCAGCAGCAGCAGCCGGGGCAGCCGCAACAGCAGCAGCAGCAGCAGCAGCAGCAGCAGCAGCACAGTCAGCAGCAGCAGCACGGTCCGCAGCAGCCGCAACAACAAGGGCAGCAGCTTCAGCAGCACCAGCACCAGCAGCGGCGCCGTGCCACTTCCCGCTCCTCCCCCTTCCTCCTCCCTTACATCCATACCCGCTCAGTGGACAAAATCCTTGGGGCTCCTCCTCCTGCCTCCATTCAGCTCCTTGAGGACTCCCATATGGAGTTCCTCAACATTCGGGAGCACACTCCGTTCCTTGCCTCCCTCTACCTTGACTTCCTGGGCTTTCCTGTCCTTGGCTCCACCACCACCCCCACCATTTTCACTCCCTCCACCTTCCAGGAAGCTATCACCTGCCCTGACGCGGATAAATGGATAGCGGCGATCTTCCTGGAGTGTGAGGCATTCATTCGCAACGACTCATTTGTCGATGTCCCCCTCCCAGCCGGCGCTAACGTCGTTGACGGCGAATGGGTCTTTCGGGTGAAGCAGCTGCCAGGCGAGGAACCGGTGTACAAGGCCCGCTACTGCGCCAAGGGGTTCACGCAGACTTGGGCCGAGGACTACTGGTTCACCTACGCCTCCACCGCCAAACCACCCACCCTTCGCGCCGCCCTCGACATTAGCGGACGTGACAACATGTAGATCGATTCCATGGACGTCTCCAATGCGTTCCTTCAGGGCAACCTGCACGAGCGCATTTTCCTTCGGCGACCCCCCGGGTTCCATGCAGCCTTTCCTGAGAACACTGTCTGGCAGCTGCGTCGCCCTGTCTACGGCTTGAAGCAGGCACCGCGTGAGTGGCATGCGAAGCTGGCTGCCACCTTAGGGTCTCTCGGCTTTTCTGCTTCCCATTCCGACGCCAGCCTCTTCATCCGCTCCTCCCCCCGCCGCTTCTTCATTCTGATGTATGTGGACGACATGATCCTGCTCTCTGACACCAGGGCCGACATGGAGCAGATGAAGTTGTCCCTGCAGCAGCGTCTCAAGTGCAAAGACCTTGGCGCCCTTACTCACTACCTGGACATGGCCATCACACACAACTGCCCTACTTGCACCATCCCCCTCTCACAGTCCCACTACATCGGTCAGGTCTTGGAGAAGTTCGACATGGCGCAGGCCAAGCCTGTCTCCACCCCCGTCCCTTTTGGCCACCAACTCGCACCACCCTCCTCCCCCACCTCCTCCCCCCACCCCTATGCCAAGCTCGTTGGGTCCCTGATGTACGCGATGATGTGCACCCGTCCCGACCTCGCCTACCCCATCAGCGTGCTCGCCCGCTTTGTCGGCACCGGTCATCACACTGAGGAGCACTGGAAAGCTGCCAAGCGGGTCCTCCGCTACCTTCGCGGGACCAAGGACCTTGCCCTCACCCTTAGTGGCCCTTCCCCTCCTCTTCTCTCGGGCTTCAGTGACTCCTCTTGGGCTGACACGCAGCCGGACCGCCGCTCCTCTCAGGGCTACGGCTTCACCATTGGCAGCGGCCTCATCAGTTGGCGCTCCACCCGCTCCTCCGCCATCTCTCTCTCCACCTGCGAGGCCGAGCTCTACGCTGGCACCATGGCCGCCCAGGAGTCCCGTTGGCTCTGCTTCCTTCTTGCAGAGCTTGGCGCCCCCCAGACGTGCCCCACCCTCTGGTGCGACAATGCCAGCACCATCCAACTCACTCAGGACCCCGTCTATCACGCCCGCTCCAAACACATCGAGCTCCGCTACTTTCTCATTCGCGAGCTCGTCCAGAAGGGCCTTATTGCCGTTCGCAAGATTGCAACCGAGGCCAACTTGGCCGACATCTTCACTAAGGCCCTCCTTCGCCCTGCGCACTCTGCTTTCCTCCGCCTCATTGGCCTCGCTCGCCCGGGCGCCCCTTGATTCAAGGGTTGTTCTCTTCTTGTGTTAGCATGCTTAAGGGTTGTGTTACAATATATGTTGTGTAGCATGCCAACACATGTGACTGCACACCAATTGTGGTGTACAGTTGGGTTGAGACTACACCCAAGTTTGGGTGTAGTCTTGCACTTTGGGGTGCCAATCCACCCAATTGTGGTGGAGCCCCCAAATGCAACCCACTTGGCTTATGGGTGCCTCACTTCCCACAAGTGAGGTCATCTCAAGCCAAGTGAGCCTAGGGTTGCTTCACTTCCAGCGTCCCAGCGTCCTTGTACCTCCACCCTTCCACCTTTTCCTCCTTCCTTCCCACCTCCCTCGCTCGCCGCCGACTGCACTCCCTGCGCTGCTGCAACGCCACGCCTCTTGAACTCACTCCTTTCCAAAAAAGGATGGGCGCACCAGATAGCCATGTGAAGGAGGAAATACACAGGCACCGGCTCGGCGCGCCTCAGCAGCATGTGCAGGTTCAAGGGCCTGCGCAGGCGCGCTGGGAACTCGAGGCAGTCAACGAGCTCGTCAAAGCCTGGGAGGGCGGCGGGAAGAGGGAGAGCACGCGGGAGAACAGATGGCTGACGGGGCGGTAAGCGAAGTTGGCGATGAGAGCAACGGTGCACGCGTATAGCATGAAATCTGCGGAGCATGCCTTGCAGTGGGCGCATGCAGGGGGGTCCATCACGCACCCAGTTACCTTTACCAGAAAATCCACATCTGCCAGGCTCCGAACGATGGGAAGCTTCCTTCTGGGCGGTGGTAGCACTGTCATTCTCACATCAGCGGTCAGAAATTCTTCAGCTATCGCACGCGCCTTGCTCTTCAAGGATTCCTCCCAAGCTCCTAGCTCTATTGCCTTGGAGTCTCTCCGCCTTGCACTCCTGCTGCCCCCTCCAGCTTCAGCTTTCCCACGCGCCATGCTCCATTCACCTTCGTGACTACCTCCTTGGCCTTCTGCATCCTTTGCACGCCTGCCATCCCTCCCTGCTTCAGATGTGTGCTGAGGAGGGTCCTGGGCCAGCTTCTCAGGGGCTTCACCATGCTCCTCCACAATCCCAAGCCCAAAACACTTCTCTTTTCAGTTCACAGGAAACTTCACAGCAGCTTTGTCACCCCCAGGCCACTCCTCCCACTCCAAAGGAACGTTCCTTCCCTCCAAAGGCTTGGGAATGGCGCCGAACCTGACGAGTAGGCTCGGAAGGTCTCGAAGCGGGTGGCGCATGGGCCGGACATTGTTCTGAGCGTCGTCCTTAAGCACTGTTTCTCCGAGATGGAATCTGAGCCGTAGACTCGGACCCACTGCAATATGCAACCGACCCGATACGTGAGTGCAAAAACCACAACGTTCGTATTGGCAGGCATGGGTTTAGTATTCATATTAACGCATGCAGTAGCAGTAACAGGTGGAGCCCCTCCTACATCTGCCCCTGCTCCTCCACCCGTCCCCCTTCTCTGCTTCAAGCGGTGCAGCAGCCTTTTCCTGGCCACCAGAATAGCTGCCTTCTCTACCTGCACCTTGCTCGCCGAGTTCCCATCATGAAAGAACAACTCTGCATCCTTCCAGTGCTCTAGTTTGGACAATACTGTGGTGACGGCAAGGGCGAAATCGATCGCATTTACACCACTCACATGCATACCTTTCGGAGCATTGCTATTCATACTGCTGCTGCCAGAACTGCTGACGCTGCTTCTGCTGCTGTTGCTGCTGCTGCTTCTGCTGTCATTGTCACCGCCACTGCTGTCAGCAATACTGCTGCTCCTCCTGTTGCCGCTCTCATTGCAGTGGCTGCACTGGAACTCCCTCCGTTTCCCCCCTCTATGCTCCAGAATCCAAGCCATGCCATCCACATACCTCTCCCACACAGGTCCTCTCAGGTTATCCCTCCACTTCACGTCTTTAATTCCCCTCCGGCACTTTCCAGGAACACTTACTATCTCTACCTTGCTCCCTGCCTCTTCCTCTCCCTGTCTCCCATCGTCCTCCCCATGTGACGCATCCTGTCTGCCCTTCCCCTCCACATGCGTAATCTCAGCAGCCTTCTCCTCCGCTTTCCCCTTTTCCTTCCCCTCCACATGCGTTTTCTTAGCATCCTTACCCCGAGCTCCCTCGTTACTCTCTGCATGCGCCTTCTCCAGCCCGCCTGACAGCAGTTGCTGCACTAAGAACCCAAACCCTTTCTGCAGATCAGCACTCTCCTTCACCCCCAGCACCTGCACCAGCATGGAAGCGAAATTGTCACCCTCCCTCTGCCTGCTCGCCCCCAGCTCAGCGACGATTGCTGGCCTGGCAGACGAGTAGGAAACTAAGTGTGCTTTCCATAAAGTCACGAGGCGAGGGGATCTTGCTACAAGCAAAAGGAATGTCGAGAAGCTGACAGCACGACGGTAGGCAGCCCAGCAGTTGCTGCAGCGCCAGCAGCAGGACCACGCAGCAGCAGCAGCAGGGGCAGGAGGAGCAGCAGCACTAGCAGGAGCAGGAGAAGAGGAAGCAGCAGCAGGAACAGCTGCAGTGGCACACAAAACAGCAGGCAGGCGGGATCTGATCCTCCCCAGGTCCATGAGCACGCCCACACGAGGCTCAGCCATCCACTCGAGAACCATTGCTTCCGCACAAAGGCGAGGCGCCATCCCTGGCTTCTGCGCAGACTGACTCTGATGGGAAGCTCCATGTTGCTCTCGTAGCGCCTGCACCAATGCCCCGTTACAGGACTCAAAAGCGGCCTGGTTGTGCTGCTGCTGCTCCGGGGCTGCTGCGGGGATGGAACGAGGCTGCAGCTTGCGCAGGTGGCAACGCAACTCATCAAGGTCTTTAATCGCAAGTGCTCGCCGTGCTCTCTGACTCACAGCACGGTCAAAGCAGCACACACACAGATCCTCATCCCACCTGCTCGTCACATCTAAGTAGTGAACCATATCGGCATGAGACAGCAGCTGGCGCGGCTTTGGACTTTCTTCCGCCCTTGCTTCGTCTGCTGCCCCTTTGTTGGCCTCATCAGGCTGACTCGGTTCACTCTGGCCGGTCTGGGCTGCAGAACTTACTTCCCTCTGCAGCACCTTAAGAGTTCCCAAGTGCTCTTCCAATTCCTCAATGGGCTGTAAGAAGCTTGTCTTTCCACCAGCACCTGCCTCTTCCTCTTTCGCTTCCACTTGCTCTGCTTCCCCACCAGCTGCTGCAGTTAACTGTCCCAGTCGAACACTCTTGGTCTGGAGTGTCAAGCACACCGCCTCCACACTCTTAAACTGCTCTTTCAATTTCTGAACAGACTCTGCTAAGCTCTCTACGCTCACTACGACCTCCTCCTGTTCCTTGCTACTGCCAGCATCAGAGTCAACACTCTTAAGCTCTGATTTAACAGATTTTGTCGGAACTGGAGCCTCCAGCTTGTGCCGCTCCTCTTCCATGCTACCGCCAGCATCAGAATCAAGGCACTTCGGCCCTGCTCCACCCACCCCTGGTGAAGCTCCTCTCCTCGGCTTGTGCCCCTCGCCTTCCATGCTGCTGGGCTCGATTGGGTCCAATTGGATGGGAAAAGGAGCAGCAGTTGCAGCAGCAGGATTAGTACTAGGAGGGAGAGAACCAGAAACTGCAGTTGCAGAAGCAAGAGTTGGAGGATTCCCGGATAGCTCGACTTTCTCCACGCCCTTATTCCTTTGATTTTTCAAGGACGCCACGTTGATGGTTGTACCCGCGCTAAGCTTGGCTTGCTCAACGGTCAAGTCAGGAGAAAGGCACACTTGTTGCCCAACAGCCATGAAAAGAACCTCCTGCTTCCGAATTTCAGATTCTTGCTCTACCGATTTTACCCTATCCTGTCCTCCCTGCTGCTGACGTGTCGCGTATGGCAGGCAGCAGTTCGGCAGGTGGGACTGGAACAATCGGTTAAAAACCGAAAAGAGAAGCTCGTCGGGAGCAACAGTGAAAGAGACGGCCACGTGCGCAGCAGTCGGCTTATTTCCGAAGCTACTGCTACTCTAACAATCGTCGTGATCCGTGACGCATCCTGCTGTCTCGCCACTGTTATTCGTACGGCCGCAAGATCCACAATTCGTCAGACTAGCTGGGAATTTGAAAATAACCTCGAAATCCATGTCGGATCCTGCAAGATTCTTATCGAATTTGCCTATGATCGGTTAAAGCCAAACAGTGCCTTGGATTCGAATCCGTCGCTTTCACTGACAGAAAGGCCTGTATTAGTAGTAGTATTCTCTCGGTCGATGGCTGTAGGCCCAGCGAGACTTGTGATCCCAGAGTTAGCTGATTCTACGAGACCATTGGCATAGTTGAGTTGCAATCACGCAACGCAACGCTTCCATCCTTTGGACGCTTTCCGAACCGAACCAGGCGACGCTGTGATTGGTTCCCATCGCCCGAGTCACGCGAGGCTGAGGCTTATCCGATTGTGAGTGACTATCGTCTTGGCAGAGCATAAGACCATCCAATCAGATTCAGTCGTATGAGGGTGGATCAGTGCTCGGCGGTTCTTTCTTATCGCATAACCTCATGCTGCCATCCCAGAACCGTCGATTCGTCGTCTCAACACGATGGTTCTTGCCATTGAACGAAAGAACCTGTCCAATCAGAAAGGTGACTGGGAAAGCGCGATCGGACCGTCGTTTCCGGACAAGTCTCGGGAATAATACTCGGCGAGCCGTCTGCTGATGTAAGCTGTCATCGCGAGACGACCTAGATTGTTGTCGTAGCACCAGCTTCGACGTTGCCATGGCTGAACAAGAATGCTTGATGAGTCAGATGCGTAGTGAGCACTACTAGGTGCGAATGCTTGGACAGGTCAGGTGTGAGTGAAATCTGTAATTGTCAATTTTCGTGTGCGTGTCTCGAGGGCACCTTGGACTAGGGTTCAGTTCGTTTTTCCGCGTTTGAAAATGTTCTATAACCATTCGGAGGTTAAATATCGTGTAGATTAAAATTAACGCGTATAATACATTCAGTCTAATAGAGTCGCACCTAAAATTTAGGTTAAATCAGCACTCACATATTGTAGTTAACAGGCATATATGCCCCTAACAGGGCCCGTGCTAGCTTTCGGGGCATCCTGAGGCCTCAGGGCAACTTTCCGGAATCTAAAAAATTGTCCTGATTTGTCAGGGCATAAAATCAAAGGCTTCCTGTGGTTTCAGGGCTTCTGCAAAAAATAATCCTTACCTAACAGGGTTAAAAAACAAGTGTTCAAGGTTATGTCTTTAGCACTTCTAATGGGACCAGCATTGTTCTACTTGTTGAGATAGCAAGCAGAAGTTTAGAACAGAAAAGAGAGGTTTGCGCTAACAAGCAGTTGAGTACATATAGGAAACCCTAATTTGGGCTATACTCGCTATAGAGTACCCCACTGCAGGCTAGACAAATATCACATTCTGACACACCCCCATAGTCAAAGTAGGGTATAACCAGCACAGCAAGCAGTCATAGAGCAGGTTCACAAGTACAAGCAAAGCTAGAGGCATTCACAGAAGGCAAGTAAGGAGGAGGAGGGACTGTGAGAGGAGTGGAGATAGGAGGCGACGGGTGAAGCCGCAGACACACGGGCAACAGGAGCCGCGTACACGGAGTGGCTACCGGAGCAGTGCCCCGGACTACTGGAGTAACTGGCTCCGCGGCTAAGACGAGCGGCAGGAGCAACGGACCCACCGGCGACCGGGGCAGCAGGCTTGCTCGGCTACCGGAGCAGAGCCTCGGACTACTGGCGCTGCTGACGACACAACGGGTGCCTCCGCTCAACCTCCCCCAACTGTCCCAAACCCCTTTCACACACCCCCTGCTGCACCCCTAGCTCCAATCCCACGGCACCCCCTAGCGCTACTCCCTCGGCTCCCACACATCCACCCCCTTCAGCGGCACCTGCGGTAGTGGGAGAGAGAGGAGGAGGAGCACGGGACGACGCACACCCGCCACCCCCATACTCGCCACCCCCTTACCCTCCCCCACGGCTGCACGCGTAGCAGAGAGACGACGGGAAAGGAGGGGGGGGGGGGAGGGGAAGAAGCCGTCCCGCAGCTGCACGAGGGCAAGGGGCGGCTCGCAGCTCCACAGGGCAGCGCTCGCAGATCCACGGAGCCGGGCGCGCGGGTCCCCTGGGGCGACGCGCTGGTCGACGGGGGCAGCGCGCGGGTCGACAAGGGCATCGCGCAGGTTGACGGGGCCGCGCGTGCAGGTCCACCGGGGCGACGCGCGGGTCCCACGGGGCGGCGCGCTGGTCGACGGGGCAGCGCGCGGGTCCACGGGGCAGCGCACGCGGGTCCAGCGAGGCAGCGCGCGCGGGTCCAGCAAGGCAGCGCGCGCGGGTCCAGCGGGGCAGCGCGCGGGTCCCACAGGGCGTCGCGCGAGTCCAGCGGGGGTAGCGCGCGGGTCCTGCAGGGCGTCGCGCGGGTCCAGCGGGGGGGGGGGGGGGGGGGGGCGGGTCCCACGGGGTGATGCGTCGGGCAGAAGACCGTCGCGCGCCCCGGGGTGCACGGCGGGCAGAAAACCGCCGCGCGCCCCGGGCGCGCAGTGGGAAGAAAAAATGCCGCGCGCCCCGAGCGCGCGACAGGCAGAAAACGTTGTCAAACATTATATATGTTATGCTTGTTTAGGCTACAGTGGGTTAGCCTATAGGGGGTACACAATTCTAGGGTTAGGTACTTGTACTGATTTCACTGTTAGTTCCATCATTCCTGTTTGTTCATTTCAACAAACGTCGCGCGCCCGGGGCGCGCGATAGGCAGGACAGCAGCGGAAGCATTAGGTGGGCCCATCCACAGGATCGACCCGGGAGGGTCGACCTGCTCTGATAGCATGTTGAGATAGCAAGCAGAAGTTTAGAACAAAAAATAGAGGTTTGCACTAGCAGCCAGTTGAGTACATATAGGAAACCCTATTTTGGGGTATACTCGCTATAGAGTACCCCACTGCAGGCTAGACAAATATCACATTCTGACACTACTCCCTACTAACTAGTACATGCATGGCACTCGACAATACAGGAGTGTTGCCTTGCCCAACATGTTTTCCCTAATCGGATGGGTTTGGGGAATACGCTGCGAAAGATCGGAACCGTCAAAGGAATCACGCGAAGGTGGAAAAAATACACGGGGAAACCAATCCGTGGGGGGAAAGTTATTGGGGGAAAAATTCTGTGGGAACGGGAAACCAAACTCCCCCCCCCCCCCCCAAACATCCCCCTAAAAATCCGCGTCAGGGGAAGCCTCGACAATTATCCTGACACAACAGGGAAGAACAGCATGGCCATCCTGAAATTCCAGGGCATTTCATACAACAACATCCTGAGACCACAGGGTTAAAAATGAGACTATTTTGAAAGTATAGGGCAAATTCAAGTATTCATCATGAAATCAAGGTAATCAGGATGGTTTGCCCTGATATCGTGGGGCCTGGCCCCTAACAACATTGGTTAAATCAGGCCCCACGTTATTAGGGCAAAACACCTTGATTACCCTGAATTCAGGATGCAGTTTTGGATTTACCCTATAATTTCAGAATGGTGTCAATTTTAACCCTGAGCTCTCAGGATGTTTGATTTGAAATGCCATGAACATTCAGGATGGGTGTAGTGTTCTTCCATGTAGCGTCAGGATGAGTGTCGAGGCCTGCCCTGACGCGTTTTTTGAGGGGGGAGGAGGGGGAGGGTGGTGGGTTTGTTCCTGTTCCCGGGGAACGCGCGTGTATGTTTCCCGCCTTCGCACGATTCCTTTGACAATTCTGTTCTGATCCCCCGCAACGCACTAGCCCAACCCATCAGACTGGGAACAGGGTCCACCTTACCAACAGGTTCACCTGCAACTGGTTCATCTCGAACTCCCGTAGTCACACCCGCCCGTGCTAGTACGAACGACACCAGCAGAGTCTGGTCTGGTGTGTGCTAAATTCTCAACCCAGAACACTGGTTTTTTTGCCTTGACAGGTCAGGATTGATTTTTGCAGAAGCCCTGAACATACAGGATGGTTTTGAAAATTTGCCCTGATAAACCAGGGCATCTTTTAAGATTCTAAAAAGGTGCCTTGAGGCCTCAGGGTGCCCCAAATCCTAGCACGGGCCCTGGGTTAAATCGGGTTCGAGCATGGGTTGCACTCCTTCCCCCTCACCCCTCTCAGCACACAACAGCACAACAGGCACAGTAGCGGGTCCTATGCTCCCATGTCAATAGCTTCACACAACTCTGCCCTACCCTATTATTCCCCTCCTCCCTTCCACCCCCCTCACACCATGGCGACAGCTAGCCGCACCAGCAGGCAGACAGCCATTAGAGTTAAATTAAACTCACCACCACCACACCACACCTCCGCCCTATCCCACTCTTCCCCCCTTCTCCCTTCTCACACTATGGCAGACAGCAGCCAGCGGCACCAGAAGGCATACAGCCTTTAAGTTTGACTCAAAGCCACCTCCACCACACTTCCTACCTATGCTACTCCCCTTCGCTCCCTTCCTTGGCAGCACCTAGCAGCACCAGCAGGAAGGCATACTTTATAGTCGACTCAAAATTCACCTCCACTACAGCTCCGCCCTATCCCATTCTTTTCCCCATCCCCCCCTCCCTCTCACAGCATGGCAGCAGCCATCAGCGCCAGCAGGCAGGCGCTGGGGAGAGAAAAAGGTAAGTGCACTTCACAACAAAGTTGGAATCACTGGGCTTGAAACACAACCCTGAGAAGTGCACGGCATGGAGCGCTGCCACGTGCGACTCCACTGGGCTGCACTGGGCTGCCCCCAGGGGTGCCGTTCTGCACGGACGGCGTC